ACTTTGGGAGGCCGAGGCAGGCAGATCACAAGGTCAGAAAACCAAGACTATCTTAGCTAACATGGTGAAACCCCATCTCTACTAAAAATACAAAAAATTAGCCCGGTGCGGTGGCACGTGCCTGTAGTCCCATCAGCTGCTTGGGAGGCTGAGGCAGAATCACTTTAACCCGGGAGGCGGAGGTTGCAGTGAGCTAAGATCATGCCATTGCACTCCAGCCTGGGCAACAGAGCGAGACTCTATCTCAAAAATAAAATAAATAAATAAATAAATAAAAAAAATAAGTAATATGTAATTATCACAATTATATAAAAACTATAGATTTATATCACTAAAAACTTCTGGATTCTTTCCAATATGTTAATGACTATCACTGGAGATGCAGGTGAAGGAAGAAATTAAGAATTTAAGTTTTAGGCTGGGCGTGGTGGCTCACACCAGCACTTTGGGAGGCCAAGGCAGGAGGATCACCTGAGGTCAGGAGTTCAAGACCAGCCTGGCCAACATGGTAAAACCCTGTCTCTACAAAAAATACAAAAATTAGCTGAGCATGGTGGAGGGAGCCTGTAATCCCAGCTACTCGGGAGGCCGAGGTAGGAGAAAGACATGAACCCAGGAGGTGGAGCTTGCAGTGAGGCTGAGATCGCACCACTGCACTCAAACCTGGGTGAGCAGGGGCAGATCCGTCCTCAAAAAAAAAGCGTAAGTTTTAATCAGAACATTTTTACAGCATGTATTCAGCATAATAAAATCACACTTTTTTTTGGAGGAGTTTTGCTCTTGTTGCCCACAGGCTGGGAGTGCAGGTGGCACTATCTCGATCACTGTAAACCTCCACCTCCCCTCGTTCATTGCAATTCTCCTGGCCTCAGCCTCCCGAGTAGCGAGCGGATAGCTGGCATTGCGCCACTATGCGCGCCTCACATTTCTGTATTTTTAGTTAGAGGATGGGTTTCATCCTCTGTTGGTCAGGCTGGGTCTCGAACCCTGACCTCAGGTGATCCACCCACTCGGCCTCCACACAGTGCTGGATTTTGCTACTGCACCTGGCAAAAAGGATAACCTTTCTCCTTAAACAAAAAATATTTTAAGACATGGCAGTTAGAAAAACAGTGGGGATTTTTTTTTTTTTTTTTTTTTTTTTTTTGAGACCGGAGTCTCGCCTCCCCCCCCCAGCCGCTTCGGAGTGCAGTGGCCGGTCTCAGCTCACGCACAGCTCCGCTCCGGGTACGCCATTCTCCCTCGCGCCTCGCCCTCCCACCTCCCGCGCGCCCCGCCCGAGTAGCTGGACCACCAAAGAGCGCGCGCCACCCATGCCCCGGTCATTTTCTCTCCCTCACCGGGTTTCACCGTGTTACGCCAGGATGGGTCCTCGATCTCTGCCATCCGTGATCCCGCCCATCTCGGCCTCCAAGTGCTGGGACCTTACAGGCTTGAGCCACATGCACCCAGAGCCAACAGTGGGCGTTTTCATGTTCACGCTTCACCCCGGACAGCTTTCCGCTAATCAGTTAGTGTCTTAAATCAATACCATAACGAACAAAATTCTCAACCAGTAGGACTTGTCTTCCCAAGGGACATTTGCAACATCTTGATACATTTTTGGTTATTACATAATCTTCAGACATTTTGGCAGCGGAGATGCTACTCGGCCTACTGGATTTAGTATTAAATGCCAAGGATGCTGCTAACATCCTGCAAGGCACGACCCCAACCAAAAGAATTATCCAACCCAAGGGCTGGGCGTGGTGGCTCACACCTGTAATCCAGGGCTTTGGAAGGCCAAGGCAGGAGATTGCTTGAACCCGGAGTCTGGGACAAGCCTGGGCAATATGGCAAGACCCATCTCATACAAAAATAATTCACTGGGTGTGGGTGGCACGTGCCGTAATCCCAGCTACTTGGAAGGCTGAGGTGGGAAGATCTTGAGTCTAGGAGTTAAGAGGCTGCAATTAGCCATAAGCTTCCCACTGCACTCCAGCCTGGGTGACAGAATGAGACTGTCTCAAAAAAAAAAAAAAAAAAAAAAGGCGGGCACATGGCTCACGCCTGTAATCCCAGCACTTTGGAAGGCCAAGGTGGGTGGATCACGAGGTCAGGAGTTCAAGTCCAGCCTGGCCAAGATGGTCAAAAACCCATCTCTACTAAAAATACAAAAAATTAGCTAGGCGTGGTGGCAGGCGCCTGTAATCCCAGCTACTTGGGAGGCTGAGGCGGAGAATTGTTTGAACCAGGGAGGTGGAGGTTTCAGTGAGCCAAGATCGTGCACTGGGCACCTGCCAGGCCTGGGCGACACAGCGAGACTCTGTCTCAAAAAAAAAAAAAAAAAAATCCAACCCAAAAAGGTCAACAATGCCAAAGCTCAGAAACCCTGCCATAATATAATTATCAACACTAAGAGACCAATATCAATATAATACTATTAACTAAACCACAAATTCCACCCCCGGTCCTGTTATCCCACTAGTGTTCTCTTTATGTTCCAGGATGGGTGCTCACTGCTACTGGAGTGTCACTGTTTCTGGTCCCTCGAAGTGGACAGAGCAAGGAAATATATATATATGTATACACACATCTATAGGTACTAATATATCTATTAAACAAAAACCTTGAATTCAGACTGATGCCTCCAAATCCAATCCTACAAGGTTCATTTTAAGCACTCCCATCTCCTGTTTTATTTGTAACTTCCTTCTCCACAGTGAGACACCCAGCTCTCTTATTTGTTCAACCCTGTTTGTGTGTATTACATGGGCCCATATGCCCATACCTACAAAAGTAGTTTCAAAATTGCTAAATCATGGCTGGCCTAAGGGCTCACACCTGTAATCCCAGCACCTTGGGAGGCTAAGGCGGGCGGATCACTTGAGCTCAGGCGTTTGAGACTAGCCTGGTCAACATGGTGAAACCCCATCTCTGCTGGAAATACAAAAAATTAGCCAGGTGTGGTGGCTCCTGCCTGTAGTCCTAGGTACTTGGGAGGCTGAGGCAGGAGAATCGCTTGAACTTGGCAGGCAGAGGTTGTAGTGAGCCGAGATTGCATCATCACACCCTAGCCTGGGCAAAAAGAGCAAAACTCCATCTCACAAAATAATAATAATAAAAAATAATAATTAAAAAAAATAAAGCATAGAAAAGCAAACTGTGGAATGGCATATAAATATTACAGAACATATAATTATCCCCGTATGATGAAAACTCTAGGTCATTTCAGAAAGTTTCTAGAGTCACTTAAATGTATTAATGCTCACCACTGGTGGGAGGAGTGGTATAAAGAAATAAGAAATTCAGGGCCGGGCGCAGTGGCTCACGCCTGTAATCCCAGCACTGTGGGAGGCTGAGGCGAACAGATCACGAGGTCAGGAGATCGAGACCATCATGGCTAACATGGTGAAACCCCAGCTCTACTAAAAAAATTAGCTGGGCGTGGTGGCGTGCACCTATAACTTCCAGCTACTCAGGAGGCTGAGGCAAAAGGATCACATGCTAAGGATCAATCAAAATTCAAATGTAGCTGGGCGCGGTGGCTCAAGCCTGTAATCCCAGCACTTTGGGAGGCCGAGACGGGCGGATCACGAGGTCAGGAGATCGAGACCATCCTGGCTAACACGGTGAAACCCCGTCTCTACTAAAAAAATACAAAAAATTAGCCAGGCGTGGTGGTGGGCACCTGTAGTCCCAGCTACCCAGGAGGCTGAGGCAGGAGAATGGCGTGAACCCGGGAGGCGGAGCTTGCAGTGAGCTGAGATCCGGCCACTGCACTCCAGCCTGGGCGACACAGCGAGACTCCGTCTCAAAAAAAAAAAAAAAAAAAAGAAAATTCAGGCCAGGCGCGGTGGCTCAAGCCTGTAATCCCAGCACTTTGGGAGGCCGAGACGGGCGGATCACGAGGTCAGGAGATCGAGACCATCCTGGCTAACACGGTGAAACCCCGTCTCTACTAAAAAAATACAAAAAACTAGCCAGGCGTGGTGGTGGGCACCTGTAGTCCCAGCTACCCAGGAGGCTGAGGCAGGAGAATGGCGTGAACCCGGGAGGCGGAGCTTGCAGTGAACGGAGATCGCGCCACTGCACTCCAGCCTGGGCTGACTCCGTCTCAAAAAAAAAAAAAAAAAATTCACATCTAGTTGGTCTGACTCTTGAGGCTGAGCTCATGTAGTCACACTTACAGTGCCACACTTTCTACTATCACCTTATTTTTGTCTTGAAAAGAAGTGCCAGGGCCAAGCATGATGGCTCACGCCTATAATCTCAGTACTTTGGGAGGCCAAGGCTGGACGATCGTCTGAGGTCAGGAGTTCAAGACCATCCTGGGCAACATAGGGATACCCTGTCTCTACAAAAAATTTTACATGGTATGTAATCCCAGCACTCAGGTGAGGCAGGAGAATTGCTTGAATCCAGGAGGCAGAGGTTGCACTGCACTCCAGCCTGGGCGATAGAGCGAGACTCTGTCTCAAAAAAAAAATAAAAATAAAAAAATTTTAGCAGGCATGGTGGTACACACCGCCCAGCTACTTGGGAGGCTGATGCAGGAGGACTGTGTGAGTCTACTTCAGGGCTGCAGTGGGCTATGATCGCACCACTGCATTCCAGCCTGGGTGAAAGAGCAAGACCCTGTCTTAAAAAAAAAAAAAATGGTGCCAGGAACTGTGGATGTTTAAACATGCTTTAAACTCATCTATACCTCCTCAGGTCTGTGTGATTTCAGAATCTTAATTCCTAACAATTCCATCTACTGTCATTACCTGGAGGCTCTTTGGTCTATTAGGGTGACAATAATCCCAGCGTCTCTTGACCTTCAGACACCCACAGCAAACCCCAGAGCTCTCTCTGGGCTCCTACACAGACTCCCAGCCTGCTGGTCTACTCTGCCCTCATGGATCCAGTTGATTTGGAGCTCTTATTTCAGCAGGTACATACCGATGGTGCAGTGAAGACCAAACAGCGAGCAATCCATCCATCACTAGACAGCTTTCATGCAAAGAGACAGCAACAAAGCAACATCTAAGTCTTTATTAAGGTGAGTTTTTACAAACAAGCATCTATCCCAGTGTGGGGGATGAGGATGGGAAAGGAGAGCGGGGCAGCAGGAAGATGAGGATTCTCATCTATTGGTAATAAAGCTCCAGGTTCATCCCATCGTGGATTTCATCTGAAGGAAAGGTGTTAAGGAATCCTGACTCTGGCTTCCATCCCCACCCCTCTCATCCATTCACAGCTGGGTCAGGGTGGCCTGAGGTCTCAGTTCAGGACTAAGGAAGCCCATTTTGGACCAGGCCATTTTTATTTGGAGAGAACTGAAACGTTACCAAAAAATTTCTGGCCGGGTGCAGTGGCTCACGCCTGTAATCCCAGCACTTTGGGAAGCTGAAGCAGGTGGATCACTTGATGTCAGGAGTTTGAGACCAGCCTGGCCAACACTGTGATGTTTAAACACAGTGAAAACCCATCTCTACTAAAAATACAAAAAAGTTAGCTGGGTGTGGTGGTGGGCACCTGTAATCCCAGCTACTTGGAAGATTGAGACAGGAGAATTGCTTAAACCCAGGAGGTAGAGGCTGCAGTGAGCCAAGATTGTGCCACTGTACTCCAGCCTGGGCAACAACAGCAAAACTCCATCTCAAAAAAAAAAAAGTTTATGTTCCTTCTAGGCCAAGTGTAGTGGCTCATGGCTATAATCCCAGCACTTTGGGAGGCCGAGGTGGGAGGATCACTTGAGGCCAGGAGTTCGAGACTAGCCTGGAAAATGTGGCAGAACCCCATCTCTACTAAAAATACAAAAACTAGCAAGGAGTGGTGGTACACGCCTGTAATCCCAGCTTCTTGGGAGGCTGAGGCAGAACTGCTTGAATCCGGGAGGTGGAGGTTGCAGTGGACCAAGACCGCGCCACTGCACTCCAGCCTGGGCGACAGAGCGAGACTGTCTCAAAAAAATAAATAAAATAAAAATTCAAAAAGCTTCTGTTCCTTCTGCACAATAGATATACCTGAGTCTCACCCCACCCTGACCTACTGTCCAGCACTTAGGTGGAGGTCAGTAATAAATATTTTGAACTTGAAGTCAAACTTTCACCAACTACCCTCTTCCCCAACCAAATAATTACATAGCTCCCATGTTCTTCTTCTTCTTTTTTTTTTGAGACAGTCTTCGCTCTGTTGCCTAGGATGGAGTGCAGTGGCATGATGTCGGTTCACTGCAAGCTCCGCCTCCCCGGTTCATGCCATTCTCCTGCCTCAGCCTCCCGAGCAGCTGGGACTACAGGCACCCGCCACTATGCCCGGCTAATTTTTTTGTATTTTTTAGTAGAGACGGGGTTTCACCGTGTTAGCCAGGATGGTCTCGATCTCCTGACCCTGTGATCCGCCTACCTCGGCCTCCCAAAGTGCCGGGATTACAGGCGTGAGCCACCGCGCCCAGCCTAGCTCCCACTTTCTAAGTGCTCACTATGTGCCACGTACTAAGTTAAACACTTAATAAACATTATCTCATGCAGACTTTAGTTTTGAACGAAGATAACCGAGGCTGGGTATGTAGATGCTTCCTCAAGAAGTCACACAAAGGATACAGTCCCCCAGAGACACGTGGTCCTTAAAAATCGTGTACCTAAGGAAAAGAGACATTTCAGAGATAAGGCTAAGTAGGCTCTTCAGCCTGGAGGCTGAATGAGGTAGCCCAGCCTAAGCAAAGGGCTGCTTGCAGCGCTCCCCCAAACCAAAACCTTCCGGCCTAGTCCAGTCCACCCAGTGGCTCTACTACTGCACTCACCACTTCTTCAGGACAATCTTGTTCCAACGGGTGCCAGTTTGGGCTGCAATCAGCTTCTTAAGGTCCCCGATAGTATCATCCGTGCTGGGCGCAGAGGAGTTAAGGCAAATGGGAGCGGTAGAACGAGGAAGAGGACATTCCAGGGCTGAATACCATCTGCCAGGACCCCATCCGCCCCCTCTCCCGGGTTTAACTAAAACCATCCGACAACAGATTGAGTTGCCTGCCTCACGCCAAGCACCCCTGCGGGTACCACTGCCTCTCGGCTGCCAGTGGATACTTGCATTTAACGCGGACCTTCTTCCCCAGCCGGTCGTTGCAAACAACCTCGATCATCCTAGCTGGAGCTACACAGAGCAGTGGGGTGGGAAGTAGCAAAATCAGAGCTTCGGGCGTCTCCCAGACCCAGAAGCCCCAGCCTACAAGTCTCCCAGTCCCAGGCCCTAAAATTCCCGGTTACTGAGCCTTCCGTTCTGCCCCCAACACCCCGCACTCGAATACTCCCAGGCCAAGTCCCCTGTCCCAGGGCCGCGAACCCCAGGCAGCCGCGCATCCGCCCCTTCTCGACGCCTGAATGCCCTGACACAAAACCCCCTGGCCTCACCTCCCACCGACCCCAGACTCTGGGTGGCTGGGTCGCGACAGCTTTCCCCAACTCCGAGCCTCTCCGCTTGACCCCCTCACCTCGAATCGCCTCGAACCTGCCGACGCCACTAGCTCCTCACCCGAGCGCAGAACTCCGGCAGCAGTTGACGCTGGGAACCGGAAGCGGAAGTAAAAATGCGGGGCCGGAAGTCCCGCCCCTAGCCAGGCGGTGTGGTCAACACTGGCTCAGGTTTTTCCGGGTTTGCAGTCTGTTGTGTGTTTGCGGTTCGCAAGTACGGGTTTCCGTGTCCCAAGGCTTGGCAGGGGGACGCCTGCGGTAGGCGCGCGGGGTAGAGAGGGGGGTCTCGGCGGGTGTGGGGCCGGGGAAAGGGCGTGGAGCGAGAGCCAGAGGTCCGGCGCTGGCCCCAGCTCTTTTGAAGTCATTGTTGCAGGGAGACTCGGTCACATGGTGGGACACCAGAGGGTCCCGGGGGTGGGGGCCCGAAGCCTCTTTCTGCGGCTACTAGGAGCGAGGGCGGAGCGGGTAGGGGGGAGCGAATTCTGCAGTCATCCCTTCTGACCCCCTGGGTTCATTCAGGGCTGGGCCTCGTGAGCATTTTGCTCACCTCTGCCCTCTGGCCATCGCATTCCCCCGGGATGCGGACTCCAGTCAATAGGCGAAGCTGGATCCTGGACTAGACTCTACGCTGCCCAATAGCTGCTGTTACCGCACAGTTCCAGGCTCTTGGTGCCCCGAACAAAAATTTGAACGAGTCACACAGAGATAGCAAAGCCGCAAGTTTATTAAGCACAGTATTCCACTCTCGGAGGGGAGAGCGGACTGACCTCTGCGAGATAAGATCAGCCCCAGCTTGGTGTAGTTTGGGTCTTTTTTTTTTTTCCCGACGTAGTCTCGCTGTGTTGCCCAGACTGGAGTGCAATGGTGCGGTCTCGGCTCACTGCAGCCTTCGCCTCCCGAGTAGCTGGGATTACAGGCGCCCGCCACCACGCCCGGCTAATTTTTGTAGTTTTTGTAGAGATGATGTTTCACCATGTTGGCCAGGCTTTTCTTCTTTTCCCAAGGCTGCCTAATGTGTAGCCAGTGTCTACCTTTTTGAATGATAGGTGTGTTGCTTAGTTACTTTGGCCCCTGTGCGCTTGAGGACCGTCTTCATTCCATAATTTTAAGTACCTGCATGATATGCCGTCCATATGCATGAGCGCTAATGAGCTGATTATCCTTATGTTAAGGATACTTTTTGTCTTTAATGCGCATGCTTATGCCTAAAGAGCTGTTCTTTACTGGTTTGGTCCTGATTTCCCCGGCCATGGGATTTTTACTCAGTTTTTAATCTTCCTTTTGTTTTGTCTCCTCAGCTTCTGCCATTTATCTTGCTTCTTGCTCACCCGCCCCTTCACCTTGCTTCTGCTCTCTGGTTTTACTTATTTTGCCCTTTATCCAACGTTTAATTCCCTTTGCTCTTCTTCTGCTTCATTTTCCTTGTTCTTCTGCCTCACTGTCAGTCACCAACCTTAAATGCCTGCAAGGTAACTGGAAACTTTGGACAATTGCACAGTCTCCTGCATCTATATCTTTGGGGAGCACTCCGTACCACATTCCAGGTTTGCGAGGGCTGGTGGGACAAGGGCCTTCCTTCCTCAATTCAGTCAATTTGTAAGCCAAAAAGTATCTGAGACAGGTCTCAATCAATTGACAGGTTTATGTAGACAAGGTTAAGGACATGCCTGTAATCCCAGCACTTTGGGAGGCCGAGGTGGGCAGATCACGAGGTCAGGAGTTCGAGACTAGCCTGGCCAACATGGTGAAACTCCGTCTCTACTAAAAAAAAAAAAAAAATTTAGCCAGGTGTGGTGGCGGGCACCTATAATCCCAGCTACTTGGGAGACCGAGGCAGGAGAATCGCTTGAACACTGGAGGCGGAGGTTGCAGTGAGCTGAGATCACGCCACTGCACTCCATCCTGGGTAACAGAGTGAGGCTGTGTCTCAATTCTTTTTTTTGAGACAGAGTCTTGCTCTGTTGCCCAGGCTGGAGTGCAGTGGAACAAACTCAGCTCACTGCAACCTCTGCCTCCCTTGTTCAAGCGATTCTCTTGCCTCAGCCTCCTGAGTAGCTGGAATTACAGGCACGCACCACCACGCCTAGCTATTTTTTGTATTTTTAGTAAAGACAGGGTTTCACCATGTTGTCCAGGCTGGTCTCGAACTGCTGACCTCAAGTGATCCGCCCACCTCAACCTCCCAAAATGCTGGGATTACAGGCGTGAGCCACCATGCCTGGCCTATCATTTGCTTTTGAATGGCAGGATCCAGAGACTAAAACCACCTTTTACTATTGTTGAACTATACTGCTACAATGGTTTAAGAATTCTCCAATGCCGGAGACCAAGATGGCTGCGAGGCTCAGCGCCTTCCTCAAGAATGCCTGGGACAAGGAGCCAGTGCTGGTCGCGTCCTTTGTCATCGGGGGCCTCGCTATAATTATGCCCTCATTCAGCCCCTACTTCAAGTACTCCATCATGATCAATGAGGCCACGCCCTACAACTACCCAGTGCCCGTCCGTGATGATGAGAACATGCCGGACGTGCCCAGCCACCCCCAGGACCCTCAGGGCCCCAGCTTGGAGTGGCTGAAGAAACTGTGAGCACCTTCACTGACAGAGGCGGCCCCTCCCACGGCTCCCAATAAAAATGTGAACACCCAAAAAAAAAAAGAATTCTCCAATGCCAGCGCGGTGGCTCAAGCCTGTTTCTGGCACTTTGGTAGGCTGAGGTGGGCAGATCACCTGAGGCCAGGAGTTCAAGACCTGCCTGACCAACATGGAGAAACCCCATCTCAGCTAAAAATACAAAATTAGCCTGGCGTGGTGGTGCATGCCTGTGATCCCACCTACTCGGGAGGCTGAGGCAGAAGAATTGCATGAACCGGAGAGGTGGAGGTTGCGGTGAGTCGAGATAGTGCCATTGCACTCCAGCCTGGGCAACAAGAGAAACTCCCCGGATTACAGGCATGCACCACCACGCCTAGCTAATTTTGTATTTTTAGTAGTGACGGGGTTTCTCCATGGTCAGACTGGTCTCGAACTCCCGACCTCAGGTGATGCGCTGGCCTTGGCCTCCCAAAGTGCTGGGATTACAGGCATGAACCACCATGCCCAGCCTCTCTTCTGTTTTTCTATTCTAAGGTCTCATAATGTTTAACCTGTGTACTTTGCTTAAAAATTCCAGAAACTGGCCTTGAAAATCTAAATATAGGCCAGGCGTGGTGGCTCACACCTGTAATCCTAGCACTTTGGGAGGCCAAGGCAGGCGGATTGCATGAGTTCAGGAGTTGGAGACCAGCCTGGGCAACACAGTGAAACCCCGTCTCTACTAAAATACAAAAAAATTAGCCAGGTATGGCGACATGCATCTGTAGTCCCAGCTACTTGGGAGGCTGAGGCAGGAGAGTTCTCTTGAACCCAGGGGGCAGAGGTTGCAGTGAGCTGAGGTCATGCCACTACACTCTGGCCTGGGAGACACAGTGAGACTCCCGTCTCCAAACGAAACCAAACCAAAAAAAGAAAATCTAAATATAAAACCAAAGTTGTGGAACGCCCCATCCCAGGGAAAGAATCTACAATCCTGTTTTGGTCAAGCTGACACCTGCCAGACCAGCAGGTGGCCCATTACTCAAATGGAAACCAGACATGCTGACTTGTGCATCTGAACTCCATTTCCTGACCCCTAGCTGCAGCTGTACCTTGGTAGAACACCCTTTTCTTTCCTGTCTTGATGATTGTTGGAGTACTCTGTAAGTTTCCCTAATAAATGCTTTGGACTGATTGCTCTGGTAATTGGTGTTTTCTTGAAATCCCCACTGGTCCCATCTTGGGATGATTTAGGGCATTCCTTTGTGGGAACTCCCCTGCCTCTGCTTTTGGGGAGACTCCAGCCAGGACAAAACAGATTGGAAGGTCAAAAGTGAGCTGAGGGGGCTGAGGTGCCTGAGGAAGTTTAGAAGCAGCACATATTTGCATTCTCTTAGAAATCCTGGGTCACGGCCAGGCACAGTGACTCACACCTATAATCCCAACACTTTGGGAGGTCAAGGCGGGTGGATCACTTCAGGTCAGGAGTTTGAGACCAGCCTGGCCAATTGGCAAAACCCCATCTCTACTAAAACTACAAAAATGTGGTGGGCATCTGTAATCCCAGCTAGTCAGGAGGCTGAGGCAGGAGGATCACTTGAACCTGCGAGGCAGAGGTTGCAGTGAGCGGAGATTGTGCCACTGCACTCCAGCCTGGGCAACAAAGTGAAACTCTGTTTGAAAACAAATACTGGGCCGGGCGCAGTGGCTCATGCCTGTAATCCCAGCACTTTGGGAGGCCGAGGTGGGTGGATGATGAGGTCAGGAGATCAAGACCATCCTGGCTAATACAGTGAAACCCCGTCTGTACTAAAAGTACAAAAAAATTAGCCATGTGTGGTGGCAGGCGCCTGTAGTCCCAGGAGGGGAGGCTGAGGCAGGAGAATGGCATGAACCTGGGAGGTGGAGTTTGCAGTGAGCCAAGATCCAGCCGGGGTAATAGTGCAAGACTCCATCTCAAAAACAAACAAAAAGAAAACAAAGAAATACTGGGTCACGCAAGCATTGACTATAGTTACCACTGCATGGTACCATGGTAGGATTACTGAGAGTCTCATTCTCCCTTCTTTTTTTTTTAATTTTTTTTTTTTGAGACAGTGTCTTGCTCTGTCACCCAGGCTGGAGTGCATGGCACAATTATAGCTCACTGCAGCCTCCAATTCCTGGACTCCAGAGGACTCACCTCCTGGGACTTCAGGTGTGCACCACCATGCCTGGCTGATTTTTTTACTTTTTGGAGGGACACTGTCTCACTATGTTGCCCTGGCTGGTCTCAAACTCCTGGCCTCAAGTGACCCTCCCAAAGTGCTGGAATTACAGGCATGAGCGACCACACCCGGCCTAATTTTCCCACTTCGTGGTGTTTTTCCAGATTTCTGACACTGAACATATGTTACTTTTGTAATCACCGGGGGTGGAAAAGGAAATGTTTGCTTTTTCAAAATGTTCTAATTTCTCAGTGCTGGATTCAAAGATCCGCCAAGCACAGGGTCTTGGTGCTGAGCTGTGGGGCGAGGAGTTGGGGAAGGGATGAGGAGTACTGCTGAGGGAAGAGGAAAATGGGGCCAGGTGCCATTACATCACACCTGCAATCCCAGCACTGGGAGACCAAGGTGGTAGATCACCTGAGGTCAGGAGTTCGAGACCAGCTTGGGCAACATTGCAAAACCCCGTCTCTACTAAAAATTAAAAAATTAGCCAGGTGTGGTGGCACACGTCTGTAGTTTCAGCTACCTGGGAGGTTGAGGCACAAGAATCACATGAACTTGGGAGATGGAGGTTGCAGTGAGCGAGATCACACCACTACACTCCAGCCTGGGGGACAGCCTGGGACTCTATCTCAAAAAAAGAAAAAAAAGGTCGGGCACAGTGGCTCATGCCTGTAATCCCACTACTTTGGGAGGCCGAGGCGGGCAGATCACCTATCACCTGAGGTCAGGAGTTCAAAACCAGCCTGACCAATATGGTGAAACCCCATTTCTTCTAAAAATACAAAATTAGCTGGGCTTGGTGGCACATGCCTTAAATCCCAGCTACTTGGAAGGCTGAGGCAGGAGAATCGATTGAACCCGGGAGGCGGAGGTTGCAGGGAGCCAAGATTGCGCCATTGCACTCCAGCCTGGGCAACGAGAGCAAAACTCTGTGTCAAAATAATAAAGAAAAGAAAATAAATTTTTAAAAAATAAAGTGGATCCTGGTACAAGGTTTACAAGGTATGTAAGAATGTCTCCAGTATTTTAAATGAACTCTTAAGTTCTGAGGAAACCCAGGCGGGGTCTTAAGGACTTTGTTTTACCTTCTAGCTTTTGCTTGAAGGCCCCACTTTCTCCAGGTCTTTAATTTTTTTTTTTTTTTTTTTTTGAGACGGAGTCTTGCTCTGTCGCCCAGGCTGGAATGCAGTGGCGCCATCTCGGCTCACTGCAAGCTCCGCCTCCTGGGTTCACGCTATTCTCCTGCCTCAGCCTCCCGAGTAGCTACACATTCATCAGAGCTACTGCAAGGTATTGGTGAAGGCTCACTGCTGTGGTTGCACATGGAGACCTGGCCTGCTGTAGGAAGATCTGTTCTCAGAGCTGCTTTCCTTGGCGGGGGGCGGGGGGGATACTTTCCAGAAGGTAAAGTTTTGGGTCAAGACCCAAGGAGCAAGCTGGGCAGGCCCCTTCTACACTCTTGTTTCCTGGGTTCCTGGTCCAGAGGAAGGCTTGTATGTGGGTTTCTTTTTCTCTCACCTGACTACTTCCCTCCCTCTAGCCCTGTATGCTGGTGGTGCAGGAACCCCCTGTAACTGAGTGGGGATGGCGGGGAAGGGACACCTGGGTTCTGCCAAACTTAAAGGAACTCCCCTTCCCCTGCCAGAGTTCACAAGAAGGGAAGTAATCTTAGGGGTGGAGGCAGGTGCATAGGAGTTTCCTCCCCCCACTATCTGAGCACCTCAGCAGAGCTGGGGTGCACAAGTCCCATCTGCCACCCCAGAATTCAGTCTGATAATAGGAGGGCAACAAGCCAAGAAGACACACATAATGCAGCCATAAAAAAGAATGCAAGCAGCTGGGCATGGTGGCTCATGCCTGTAATCCTAGCACTTTGGGAGGCTGAAGCAGGAAGAACCTCTTGAGCCCAGGAGTTCAAGACCAGCCTAAGCAACGTGGCAAAACCCCGGCTCTACAAAAAAATACAAAAATTAGCCAGGCGTGGTGGCTCACACATGTAATCCCAGCATTCTGGGAAGCTGAGGCAGGTGGATCACTTGAGGTCAGAAGTTCGAGACCAGCCTGGCCAATATAGTGAAACCTCATCTCTAAAAATACAAAAATTAGCCAGACATAATGGCTGGCGCCTGTAGTTCCAGCTACCCCGGAGGCTGAGGCAGGAGAATCACTTGAACCTGGGAGGCGGAGGTTGCAGTGAGCCGAGATTGTGCCACTGCACTCCAGCCTGGGTGACAGAGCAAGACTTCATCTCAAAATAAAAAAAAAAAAAAGAAAGAAAAGATAATGAAATCATGTCCTTTGCAGCAACATGATTTTTATTTTTATTTATTATTATTTTTTTTTGAGATGGAGTCTTGCACCCGTCTCGCAGGCTGGAGTGCAGTGGCATGATCTGGGCTCACTGCAACCTCCGCAATCTTTCTCTCTCTCTTTTTTTTTTCTTTGAGACGGAATTTCACTCTGTCACCCAGGCTGGAGTGCAGTGGTGCTATCTCTGGTCACTGCAACCCCCACCTCTCGGCTTCAAGCGATTCTCCTGCCCGGGTCTCCCAAGTAGCTGGGACTATAGCCGCGCGTCACCACGCGCAGCTAATTTTTGTATTTTTAGTAGAGATGGAGTTTCACCATGTTGGGCAGGCTGGTCTCAAACATCCGACCTGAGGTGATCCGCCCACCTCGGCCTCCCCAAGTGCGGGTATTACAGGCGTGAGCCACCGCGCCTGGCGAATTGCTGTTTTAAAAATACACACACACACACACACACACACACACACACACTCTCTCTTATAGTTTCTTGGTGGACTTGTCAATTCAGAAAGTATCTGTAGTATCAATGAAAGTGAAAAATTCAACAGGTCTTTT